ACACACACACACATATATATATATATATATATATAAATTTACCTTTTTCTTGAATTAAATTCAACTAAAAACATTTTAGATCTTTTAAATATTAAGTTTGATATGTCTATAAAATCCTGTTCAAAAAGATCCGAGTTGATCATGTGATAAAACAAATTCAAATCCCGATTATATAACTGCCTTACCTGGTGACTTGCATAGCTTGATATGTAGCCAATCCTTTTGATTGCTATCAATTCTTGGTTCTCAATGTCTCCTAGCACCAGAAACCATCCTTCGTCTTTTTGCTTAGGAAAACGTGGAGCTAAAGCCTTAGTATCCTTTTTTTTAATCCTGTTCCGGCGCAAGAATTTGACATTAAGAATGTATTCTTGATCAGCATGAACTTGAATCCACTGTTTGTCCAATTGGACTCCACCTACAAATTCATTATATCTTATCTCATTAAATAAAACTATTCAAACATTTCATATTATTTATTATGAGGAATAATAACTATATAAAGTCTCCTTGTTAGTTTTGGCCTAAGGAGTGAAAAGTTGAATTTTAATAAAGGTAAAATTAGGTTGTACATTTCTATAATTTAATAATTCTACAATTACATCTAAAATAAATTTTTGTGATATTTACAAAAATTATCCAATTAGAACCCTTTTTTATTTTATTTTTCAAAATAGCTTAATAACCACCAATTTCTTAAATTTAGAAACTGCTACCTCTTACTCATAAAAACAAAGCAAAATGTACAATATTTATTTGATTAACAAAGTAACAGTACTTACAAAATTGTTCAATTAAGATGGTTCGTTCTTCTTCTTCAGCACTTTCCATCCACCAACCTTTAATCTTCATTGTAACATGTAAAACTGGTAGTTGTATCAAAGTCTGGAAAACCTTTAAAAAAACATACAAAAGGTTAACAGTAACACTCATACTTTGTATGAATCAACCAATGATATACTGAAACTTTTTAAAGCTGTTAGTATGAACATAATATAATACATTTAAATATGGAACAATGACAACTTGCTAGTAATAACATCCTAACTGAAAAGAAATTTTTTTTTGTGTGAATCATTTATATACTATTGTAGAGACAATCTTTAAACTGCTGCAAAACAAACATTATGGTTAGAAAACAATTAAAGACAAGACTAAAAGTTAGTGATACTGGTTGAAACCAAAGAGACAAAAACAGTTGAAATTCTGAAATTTGGTATATAGTAAGTATCAGAAACATGACAAATACTGGTACATATTACAAATGCAGTTTGAACTTAAGTTACGTATCTACTTGTTTATGAATTTCCGGTAGAAATTCTTTCCGAGGAACTTCAGCGATACAAGTCCTTTCTTAATCAAACCAGTTTATTCTTCCTTGATACAACTTTTAGTACACAGAATGTCCACAGTCAGTACGTTTCTCGTCACTTTAAACTTAACGACTTTTATAATACAAGCTATAAATCACAGCGATTCACAATCTCGATAAGTTTCCTCTCGACGAGTACAAATCCCACACTTTATATTTCCATAACTACTGTTCGCTTCTTTAATTATCTATCTATTGCTGGATTCTCTGCCAGGCTTATATACCAACAATGGAGGCGTCTCGAATACACTCGGGCCTCCCCGATCATTCATGATCGGTCGAGAAATTCATCACGTGTCACCAGCGTCACATGACTTTCGCTGTCGTAACACTGGCCCTACCTCAGTATTGTTCATCCCAAACAATAGCCACTTAC